TATATAATTATAATATGTATTATAATATTTATATTATTATAATAATAATTATTAAAAGCATTATTAAGCATTAAAAGCTAATCACTTGTCTAGAGTCCTACAGCCTCCAAGTGGCAAAATCTCAGCATTAAAAGCTAAGGCCTGGCCGGGAGTGGTGGCTCACACCTGTAATCCCAGCACTTTGGACATAGGCGGATCACCTGAGGTCAGGAGTTCAAGAACAGCCTGGCTAACATGGTGAAACCCAGTCTCTTTTAAAAACACAAAAATCAGCCAGGCTTGGTGGCCTGTGCCTGTAGTCCCAGCTACTAGGGAGGCTGAGGCACAAGAATCGCTTGAGCCTGGGAGGTGGAGGTTGCAGTGAGCCAAGATGGTGCCATTGCACTCCAGCCTGGGTGACAAAGCAAGTCTCTTTTTCTTTTTTTTGTTTGAGATGGAGTTTCACTCTTGTCGCCCAGGCTGGAGTGCAATGGCACGATCTCAGCTCACTGCAACCTCCGCATCCCAGGTTCAAGCCATTCTCCCACCTCAGCCTTCTGAGTAGCTGGGATTATAGGCGCCCCTACCATGCCCAGCTAATTTTTGTATTTTTAGTAAAGACAGGGTTTCACTGTATTGGCCAGGTTGTTCTTGAACTCCTGACCTCAGGTGATCTGCCTACCTCGGTCTCCCAAAGTGCTGGGATTACAGGCGTGAGCCACCGCACCTGGCTGCAAGTCTCCTTTTCAAAAAAAAAAAAAAAAACCAAAGGGCTAAGGTTTTGGACTCAGAATGGCCAATGCTTGCAATAGCTGCCACATCAAGTAAAAATACTAAATACTTTTATGTCATCAACTTGGTCACCATAGTTAGCCACAGAATGTGACTAATGCAAGTTTATGCTGTGTTAATAAATAGTTTATTTTTCTTCACCAGGCAAAAGGAATTTTGGATCTGACTAAATGGAGGGAGACTGCTTTAACGCAGAGCTGGCCATAGGCAAATCCACAAAGATGGGTTTCCCCCTCTCCTCCTTAGGCTCCATGCCTTCTTTCTCCTCAGTACTGGCATTCTAGATCCTGTTCATGTGAAAGGTACAGAACCTCCTTCCATCCTAACTGGTCCTTCCTGAGCCTCATCCCTAGGGCCTTGCAGGCCAGCAGATGAAAAGAAGACATAATTCAGGTCCCCAAGACACATGTGCCGCTTAGGAAAAAGAGTTTACCCAAGTGATTTAAACAGTGGGATTTTCAGGGCGAGTTGGAAGGCAGGAGGGGTTTGTGGTTCATGCTGAAAGAGCTAAAGTACAAGCCGCATCCTGCTTAAATAGAAGAGGCCATGCCAAGAAGCCATAGCCGTAGGTCTTGGGCTTCAGCATGGTCTCCTAAGAATCACTCTCGAGGCATGGCCAATCTCACTTCCTGCCAGGCCACAGGACGGCAAAATGCCCACTGACCTCACTGCCTCCTGCTACCCCACCATTCTGACAAAAGCCACCAAAGAGCGTGCTATTCCACTTCTCTAGCCAGAGATGACTATAGCAGGAATCACCTCGGAGCTGGCACTGCCCAGCCTGGACACTCCATCATGAGTCCAGTGAGATCCTGCTGTGTTGGGGCAGCTGAAAGTGAGACAGGCGGAGGGGCCGTGGGACTCACCACACAGAATGTGGGCTGGTCCCTTGCGCTGTCTCAGGTCCTGACTTCTTTCCAGTTCTAATCCATATGCATCCTTATTTGATGCTCCCTGTATCACCTGACCCTTACAATAAAAAGAACCACCGTGGGGAGGAGCAGATGGGCTCTCCAGGAAAGGGAGGCAGCAGTGCACCAATGAGTGTGCTGCGCTGGCAAGGGAAGGGCTGTGCAGTGGAAGGAGCTCGTGAGGCTGGGACACCAGGACACCAGGCTTGCTGGCTTACCCCTGGGCTGTCCATCACAGGCCACCTGTGCCATTCAGCACTTGGAATGCTCCTCCTGTGACTGATGGCCTGGATTTCCAATTTAATTTAATTAAAATTTTAAAGCTGAGACTTGATTCAGTTGTTGGAAAAATTTTAAGTCTGTTTCAAACAGGTTGGGTATGCGAATCTATTTCACTGAATTGTAAGTTTTATAAAATCTGAATAGAGATTAAATATTTCCAGTGAAAATTTGGCACTGGAATTGAGATGTGCTCTAAGTGTATGAAAAAAACAATGCAAAATATCTCATTAATACCTTTTTATATTACCTGTTGAAATTATAGTGTTTTGGATATATGGTGTTAAATTAAGAATATATTATTAAAATTAACCTCTGGCCGGGAACGGTGGCTCACGCCTGTAATCCCAGCACTTTGGGAGGCCGAGGTGGGCAGATTACTTGAGATCTGGAGTTCACGACCAGCCTGGTCAACATGGCGAAACCCCGTTTCCAGTAAAAATACAAAAAAAATTAGGCAGAGTGATGCATGCCTGTAATCCCAGCTACTCGGGAGGCTGAGGCGGGAGAATCACTTGAACCCGGGAGTTGGAGGTTGCAGTGAGCCGAGATTGCGCCACTGTAGTCCAGCCTGGGCGACAGAGCGAGACTCCATTTCAAGATAGATAGATAGATAAATTAATCTCATTTGTTTCTTTTTATGTTTTTTAATGTAACTATTAAAAAACTTAAAATTATATATGTGGCTTACATAATATTTCTGCTAGACAGCACTCATTTAAATTTCATCTAGGGAAAAAAAAAAACAGGGAACACACTGCTGTCATTTGAGCAGAACTATGACATGATTAAAGGAATGATTTAAGAAATATGAACCTAGCAATCATGTGCAAGAGGTAAGGAGAAAGATTTGCAGGAAATCAGGCAAGATATACTGATGGTCAAGTCCAGGCTGATGGCACAGAGGGAAGTGGAGAGGGAGGAGGAGATGGGTTTGAAAGTGGAATGACAAAAGAAGAAATACACAGGACTTAGGGACAGTTTGGCACAGGGATATAAAAGGAAACAGGCAAGACTGTTCTACTTTAGTCCTTAAGGAATCCACCTTTCTCTTAGCCTTTTTTTTTTGAGATGCAGTTTCGCTCTGTTGTCCAGGCTGCGTGCAATGGCACGATCTTGGCTCACTGCAACTTCCACTTTGGGAACTTCCAGGTTCAGGCAATTTCTGCCTAATATTTGTATTTTTAGTAGAGACGGGGTTTCACCATGTTGGCCAGGCTGGTCTCGAACTCCTGACCTCAAGTGATCTGCCCATCTCGGCCTTCCGAAGTGCTAGGATTACAGGCATCAGCCACCACGCCCCGCCATTCTTAGTCTTTTCTGAGTCTGGGCTCTATAATCAAAGAGAAAGTCATTCGGATATGCAAAGAGACCAAGATTCAGACAATTAAACCCAGCAATTGTCTTTTCCCAAGAAGTACAGCTGAGCTCCAGCCAGTCTGTCCCAGGAGGGGAGGACACGGTTCAACCACACCTAATAATAACAGAGAACATTCATTAAACACTCAGGTGCCAGGCACTGCTTTAAGCGCCTCCCGTGTTATTTCCTCATTTATTTCTTCCTACAATGCTACGAGGTAGGTAAAAAAGAACGACCTAACACTATTTAAACTCAGGGGGGTAGAACGTAGCAATTAACATTTCATTCTCATGGCAACAGAGGGGGATGCGATGGAAAGATGAAAAGTGGGAGAGGTTATTATTCAGTAACACGCACTGTGATTTTCCATCACCAGCCTGGAGGTAGACACAGGTTATCCAATCTAGACTCTACAAGCACACTGCAGCACTGCAGAGCCCAGGAAGGCCAGGCCAAGACAGACTGACAAAATTACGTGCCAGGCTCTGTGCTAAAGCCTCAAACAGCATCTCAGATAATCTTCATAACAAACCTCTGAGCCTGGCAGTGCTCATTTTAGAAAAGAGGAGATGGTAGCTGGGCGTGGTGGCTCACTTCTGTAATCCCAGCATTTCAGGAGGCCAAGGCAGGAGGACTGCTGGAGGCCAAGAGTTTGAGACCAGCCTCAAGGACCAGTGAGAGACCTTGTCTCTCCAAAAAATAAAATAAAACATTAGCTGAGTATGCTGGTATGCACCTGTAGTCCCAGCTACTCAGGAGGCTGAGGCTGGAGGGTTGCTTGAGACCAGGAGTTCGAGGCTACAGTAAGCCATGATCGCACCACTGTACTCCAGCGTGGAAGACAGAGCAAGACTCTGTCTCAATAAAAAATAAATAAATAATTTTTAAAAAGGAGATGGAAATTCAGTGAGCCTAAGTGACTTGCCCAAGGTCAGACAAAGGCAGTGGGCTTCTAAAGTAGGGACAATGTGGCCAGTGTTTGAGAACATGAAGGCTCCACCTGGGATGATTAGGAGCCACGCAAATTCCCTGGTAGGAGAATGCAAAAAACAATCAACGATTCATTATCTCTTCCTACCAGGAGAAGGGCGAAGGGTCAGGACCATCTAAAACCACTGGTGGCCAGGCGCGGTGGCTCACGCCTATAATCCCAGCACTTTGGGAGGCCGAAGTGGGTGGATTGCCTGAGGTCAGGAATTGGAGACCAGCCTGGCCAACATGGTGAGAAACCCTGTCTCTACTAAAAATACAAGAAAAAAAACAAAACAAAACAAAACAGGTGAGCATGACTATTAACTAAGTTCAGGCAGGGCCAGGGCGAATGCCTAGTGCAGTGCTTGGCATACAGTCAGTGCCAAGAAATATGCAGTCAATCCTTGTTACTCACAATTCCATATTTGTAAATTTGCCTCCTCACTAAAATTTATTTGTAACCTCAAAATGAATACTGGCAGTGTTTTTTGTTTTATTTTTTTGTTTGTTTTTTGAGACGGAGTCTCGCTCTGTCACCCAGGCTGGAGTGCAGTGGCGCGATCTTGGCTCACTGCAAGCTCCGCCTCCCAGGTTCACGCCCTTCTCCTGCCTCAGCCTCCCAAGTAGCTGGGACTACAAGCATCCGCCATCATGCCTGGCTAATTTTTTGTATTTTTAGTAGAGACGGGGTTTCACCATGTTAGCCAGGATGGTCTTGATCTCCTGACCTCGTGATCCACCCACCTCGGCCTCCCAAAGTGTTGGGATTACAGGCGTGAGCCACCGCACCCGGCCTGTTTTGTTTTGATTGAGACAGAGTCTTGCTGTCACCCTGCTGGAGTACAGTGGTGTGATCTTGGCTTCCTTCAACCGTCACCCCGTGGGTTCAAGCGATTCTTGTGCCTCAGCCTCCCAAGAGGCTAGGATTACAGGCACATGCCACCATACCCAGCTAATTTTTATATTTTTAGTAGAGAAGGGGTTTCATCATGTTGGCCAGGCTCATCTTGAACTTCTGGCTCCAGGGATCCACCTGCCTCGGTGTCCCAAAGTGCTGGGATTACAGGCGTGAACAACCGCGCCTGGCCCACAGTGCTTTTGGGGTCATCAGTGGACATGCCCACAACAGCAAAAGACGGAGTCACCTACCATGTACATTCCCAGTTGAGGTCAAGCAAGGTGACACTGAGCCTTCCTGTTTCATCCTTTAAACGAGTGTCATTGTGGTCTATTTAGTGCCACGTTTATGCTTTAAGTTGGTGATTTCACCATTGAAAATGGTCCCCAAGTTTAGTGCTGAAGCGTTCTCTAGCATTTCTAAGCATGAGAAGGCTGTGATGTGTCTTATGGAGAAAATACACATTGTGTGATTAGCTTTGTTTAAGACATGAGTCACGGTATACCATTGTTGGCCCTGAGTTCAATGTTAATGATCAACGATATATACTAACATGTCTTTAAACAGAAATACACAGAAAACGAGGTTATGTACTGATCAGTTGACAAAAATGTTGTGGCAGAGGCCCACAGCAACTGAATCCTGGATTTCCCCTAGGAGCGATGGTTTGGTATGTGCTAATTCGATGTCTGCAGTAACTTTACAGAACGTAACGACCATGGTTAATGAGAATCAGCTGTAAATGTGGAACGGCAGGAGAACCCTTCTTACTGAGCTAACTTTTAATAACAAGAGTCCCCGCCAGCTGGCGAGAAAGCTGCTTGTCCAATTTAAAAATAGCTTGGTAAATCCACAAAGAGTGCCAGATAAATTCTGGAGCAAGTCCAGAATTTATTGTTGTAGACTGCAGAGAAGCATCTCTTCAAGTAGCTCTGCTGTGCTATCCAATACAAACAACAAAAATACATCACAAAACGGTTCATTTTGTTGCATATACATGTGTATTTTTATAGGTATATTACGTAGAAAAAAGGTCTAGAATGACATACAAAATGTTAACAGTATTATCTCTGAAAGCTCTTTTCCCTGACAAAATGCTGAAAGGCATATAGAAGAAAGCAATAAGGATAAATATGCAAGAAAACAATATACTATCTGAAGTCCCATTGCCACTGAGTGGCTACTGAATACCTAAAAAGTGGCTAACTCGAATTGAAATGTACTGGAAGTGTAAAACACACACGGGGTTTCAAAGAGGGAGTATGAAAAAGAAGGTACAATGTCTCAAGAACCTTTTTTCATTAATAATTTTGTATAAATGATTACATGTTGAAGTATTTTTGATATCTTAGGTTAAATACAAACATTATTAAAAATAATTTTTTATTTTTATTTTTATTTATTTATTTTTTTGGAGACGGAGTCTCACTCTGTCACCCAGGCTAGAGTGCAGTGGCACAACCTTGGCTCACTGCAACCTCCGCCTCCCGGGTTCAAGTGATTCTTCTGCCTCAGCCTCCTGAGTAGCTGGGACTACAGGCGCTCACCATCACTCCTGCTGATTTTTGTATTTTTAATAGAGACAGGGTTTTACCATGTTGGCCAGGCTAGCCTCGAACTTCTGATCTCAAGTGATCCGCCCACCTCAGCCTCCCAAAGTGTGAGGATCACAGGCGGGAGCCACCGTGCCCAGCCAAAATTAATTTTACCTATTTCTTTTTACTTCTTAAATGTGGCTACTAGAAAAATTTTAAATTACATATGTGGCTGACATCATATGTCTATTGTAGCTGGATTCCTAGTGGAACACTGAACTTAAATCTTGAAGTAGGCTTTTGTCTCTCATTTTCAGGGTAACAGATAGGGCAAAAATCACAACAAAACCAAACAAACGAAAAAAAATAAAAAGGATGGTATCTGTGGCACAGACTTCTTTATCCAGCTAAAGAACTGCATTTGCCATTAGTGGCAAATGACTCAATTTTGGCTTAAGAGATGTAATTGGAAGTGTTGTGTGTGACTCCCAGGAAGTCTCCTTAAATTGGAGGTGGCTTGTACATCTCTTTTCCCCCTCTCCTCAAATCCTGTTGCCTGGAACATGGATACAATGGCTGATGCTCTTGCAGTCATTGCAGACAAGGAGTTTGAAGGTCACAGCATAGACATGGCAGGGTGGTAAGCCAGAAAGATTCTTGACTTACCTCCAAATTTCTTCTACTGGAGAAAGAAATAACTTTCTATCTTGTTTACGCTAGTGTTATATTGGGATTTTCCATTATACACAGTGATTGGAAACTGACCTTTGAATTATTCTGGAAGGAGTCTATCAGCAGAGACAGCTTCTTCTGCAGTTCTTGCAAGTTCCTTGAGATACTCCGGAGCTCCTCTTTGGCCATTCTGAAGCTCACTTCAATCTCTTTGGGGATGAATTCTCCTACCGGTAAATTCTCCAGTGCAGCCCACGGTCCAATCTCTCATGTCGTCCTGTCTCTTGCTGTTACCAGAGGAAACAAAAGCCGTTAGTGGTCTTCATCCAGCTGGTTCGACGAGAGCTTCTACCATCCTCATACCTTGATGGCAGGCATGTAGATGGAGGGTAACCTGGCAATATTCACAACAATTTCAGATTGCACACACTTCAATCCAGGAATTTAGCGTCCAGGAACATGATGGAAATAATCCAACAGGTATCTCAAAATGTACTAAAAGGCCGTGCATTTCCTCCCTGTTTATAACATATAATGACCAGCAAAACATTGGAAAGGAGCTAACTGTATTTCCATTAGGAGAAAATGGGTTAAAGAATTATAAATTCAGTCATTAAAATGATAGCGTGACTGTTTCGTGATGTGAAAAGATATTTATGATACTTTAAAAAAAGATAAAATGTTAACAGTATTATTTCTGACAGCTTATGTATATTTTTTAGCGTGACAAAATGCTGAAAATACACAGAAAGCAAGAAAGCTGAATACACTATTTCAAATCTCATTTCCTTTTATTTTCCCTCGAAAGCTTTCCTTGTACAACAGCAGCCTTGGCCTATTTCTCTTCTTTATTACTGTGCAGGTTGGCTCCCAATTCCATCATTCCATACATCATCATCTATTTACTTTCGGGTAAGTCTATCCCCACTAAGGAGAGCTGCGTCTGGGGGGCAGACCTCACCACAATAATTATACTCTAACTAAACTGCTTGGAATTTTGAGGGGTGTCCCAATCTCACACAATTTTTACTTATTTTTAATAAAGGCAATTGGTTAAATTAGATATATTTTTTAACCCTTGCTGAGTTTTCAAATATAAAAAACAATCATTCTTATTTTATATTTCCCAGAACTGGCTGGACACAGAGATATGTTTTCCGTTTTTCCTTTTAAACTAACCTCCTGACCTACAGTACAAATATTTAAAAGATTCCGTCTGCGTGGCCAAAATTAACTGAGAGATCATCACAGTTATTTATCATATTGAATATCCCACGTGCTGATTGCATTAGTTACAGGGGGTAATTTTATCTACTACTAAGCTGTATAGGGTCTCCTATGCAAATTAAAGTGCATTTTAATCATCCCAGCTAGACATTCTCTGCTACTTTCCTTGTGTAAAACAAGAAACCCTTTGGAGGTGGAAGTTGAGGAGGGGACTAATCCCACCACCCCACATTCTCTCTCTGAAGCTGCCTCTGGCGTAGATCTTGAACTCGGGATGTTCCCAGCACTCAGTTCCCGTAATCTCATCTCTGCAGCAAGCTGAAACAAGCCCAGTTCTCCCTACAGGTCTCCTTTGGCCTGGGAGCCTCGAGTGCCACCCAGACCGGTTTGGGGAGTCCGATGGGAGAGTGCGTGGGGAGAATGCCATCGGCCACAGCCTTCAAATGCGTCTACCAGGCTACCAATTCCCAGACCCCCTGGTCACTCACTCCTCGGAGGGGCCTCCCCAGCCACAGAGGTGTCTCCCGAGAAGGGAAAGCGTGGACCCGATGCGGCCAAGGAGTGCCCCGCCTTCTTCACGCCTGGGGGACTGGGCCAGGCCAACACCAGCCAACCCTCTCCCCTTCCAATGCTCCAAATAAATCTCCTGGCTCTCCCACCCCCGAATCTCCAGGAGCAAACGGCTACCTCGAAAGTTCCAGCTGGGAGGAGGGGTCACATCTCTGGTTGGGGGATGGGAGCTGCAGGGCGCCTCGAGCTTACGCTGGCCGCCCCTCCCGATCTGGGCCCAGCCTTTCAGCCTTCAAAAGTCAGGGAGACCCAAGGAGAGGAGGAAAGGAGTGAAGTGCAGGTGGAGAGGGGTTCCGCGTCCCAGAAGGCACAGAGGCTGAATAATGGGAACTCAGAGGGGCGTCGAGTACTTTGTTATTACAAAGAGAAGCCCCCTTTGATACTTGCAGATCTCTCTGCAGTGACGGGGAAGGGGACCTCGGTGGAGAAGAGGGGCTGGATGGCGAGGAGGGCGCCCGTTTTCAATAATCCTTGGGAGGTTTGCCTCGACGTCTTCCCCAGGTTCCCCAGAAAGGGGCACAGTCTCGGTGTATGGTGGTGCTAGCTACCATTTTACCTAATCTAGTAGTGTGTGTGTGTTGGGGGGTGGCGGGGTGAGTGTGCTTTGAGGGGTGGGGAGGAATCGTGTCTCCTCGTGCGCTCCCAGCCCCGTCCCGGTGACTCACAGGCAGGAGACGCCCCTTATACTAATCCCGGAGCAGAAAGCTACGGGGCGTGGGACCCCGATTGCGCGCTCACGCCGTCGCCTCCGCGCTCCTCCACTGTCCCCGCCCGGCGAGGGGGGTCTAGCCACCCGGGACACCCGGACCACCACCCCCCAGCTCCGAGCTCTCACCTGCTCTTGGCGGCCGAGCAGCCCCCACCGCGTTTGCAGGCGGAGCGAAGAGAGGCAGGAGGAGGAGCAAGAGGAGGAAGGAAAGAGCGTCCCGGGAGTGAAACCAGAGCCGCCTGCCTCCGCCCCTTGGCCCGGGCACCGCCCCTCGGCTCCG